TTAACCATTGATATTTAAGATGTGTGGTTGAGATTGGTTCTCACAGTTACCACAAACAACTCAGTTCTCATTTGATTAAGCCCCTATATATATATATATATATATATATATATATATATATATAAGGTTTACTTTGCAAATCATGTTATTTGTACAAACCGTATAAACTTCATTCAACCAATCATAATTTTTTATTTTGTTCATTTTTTTTGTAATTATGAAAGGTTAATTAATCGTTTTTATAGTGCAAGGTGTTAATCATGGATATTATCATCTTCATTATTTTAATTTTAGAGAAATACATAAAACAATTTTATTAAAATTTCATTAAGTATTATATGAAACAATTTCATAATCATATATGAAACAATTTCATCAAGAAAAGTATTATGAAACAATTTCACAACATTAAACAATTCCATGAAAAAATTTCATAAGATTAAACAATGAAATCAACGGATGAGGGTGGTTTGCACGGTTCGTACAAATTGGGTGGTTTGCATTTGATTGCTCATCTCTCTCTATCTCTCTCTCTCTCTCTCTCTCTCTATATATATATATATATATACACACACACACATTCAGCCAGTGACAGTTTTATTGAAAGAAGATGAAAGCATTACAGTTTCATATTTGAAGCAGAAATCAACAAACAGTTCATTCGAAGCAAACATAAAGCAGTAGAAGAAATCAGTAACAAGTTCAGGTTCGAAAAAAAAGAAACAGAAAGAAAGTAGTAGCGGAAATCGAAGCAAATAGAAAGCAGTAGCAGAAATCTTTAACAGGGTCGATAAGATGAAAGCAGTAGCAGGTTCATTCGATAAGCAAAGAGAAAGCAGTAGCAGGTTCGATCATTTGATGAAAGCAGTAGCAGGTTCATTCGATAAGCAAACATAAAGCAGAAAGAAAGCAGTAGCAAAAATCTGTAACAGGCTCGATCGTTTGATGAAAGCAGAAAGTAGCGTTCGATCGGTTGATGAAAGTAGCATACCCCGATGAAAGCAGTGTTGATGAAAGCAACGTTCTTTGATGGCGCGACTAGGGTTTAATAGTGTAATGAAGGTATTTTTGTCATTTACATACTTTTGGATGGAATGGATTTCAATTCCCTCAGCTTTAGGAAGGAATGATGAATTCTTACAATTTGGGAATCTTTGGAATTCAATTCCATTCCATGGATAAACAAACATTATAATGGAATTTGGTCAACGGAATTGACCATTCCGATTCCATCAGATTCCGACGAACCAAACACCCCATAAGGATTTCAAAATCCTATATTGGAAGGATTTCAATTTAATTCTAGAATTTCAAATCCGGACAATCTTACATACCAAACATGATATTGGAATGAATTTGAAACTCAAATCCTTTCAAATCCATTTTATTCCTTCAAACCAAACAGGATCTAAGGAATTTCCTAAAAATTGAAGAATCAAGAAGCAAACCACACACTCACCTTGGTTGTGATCAGGGGTGCTCAAAAATCCGACCAACCCAACCCAACCCAACATGACATAACCCAACCCGAAGCAACCCGATGTCTAATCGAGTTGTAAAATTTTCAAAACATAGGTATTGGGTTGATATTGGGTTATTATTATTTGAACCAAACCCAACCCGATGAACCCGATATCCTTTTATTTCTTAGATTTAATATGATTGTTGAATTTCTATTAATATATACATTAGACAATTACGCTATCATGTATGCTTTTCATATACACATATTTTCAATCTATTCATATCTCTATATAACTCATTCATATATATGTTCAGTAACTGTGAACATATATATGTAAATTGAGAAAATTAACTGAATGTGATATACGTAAGAAATATAGATAAGTTGTATCAAATGGTTGATGATGAACAAGAAATTATGAGTAGAGGAATAACATATTCAATGTTAGAAAAATATTTTAATATACCAAAATATCAATCTGACCAACTGACTAACCCTACCAACCCGTATGAGTTGGGTTGAGTTGGGTTGCACTTTGGTTTGGGTTGGGTTGGTTAAGATTTTTCCAAACCGCAAGCATTAGGTTGAGTTGTTCAAATGTATTCAACCCGATAAATCAAACCCATGAGCATCCCTAGTTGTGATAACCATTTTATATGCATGACAAATGAGATCATCATAGTAATAAGCTTAAATTGAAACATCCAATAATGACAAGGCAACAACCTTTTGTACCATTTTTGTGAAACAATGGTTGAAAGTTGGAATAATTAGGCATGAAAAAAGGACATACCTAAAAAGGGAACTATTTTAGTACTTTCACAATATATTTCCATACCATCATTTGATTCAAAAGAGTAAAATACAAGCAAAATTTAATATCAATTAATTAAAGAATTATTTTTCATTTTTTAAATAACAACATTAATTATATTATTACAATTCAAAGTCTCAACAACAAAAAAAATCAACACTTTTTTCATTTTAAAAACAACCATGTTAATTATATTATTAAAATATTTCATGAATTTAATAAAATATTATTATCATCTTTTAAACATTTAATCTTCAAGCTTCTTATATACCATTTAAATTATATATATTTTTTATTAACCTGAATATCTAACTTGTTATACGAGCCGATTAATTCCAAGACGGCTGGAGTCACCACATTTGAATCTCCGTAGCCACAAAGGGATAAAAAAATATATATATTTTTTAGAATGAAATATTTGATAGTTTTGTAATTTTACTAATTTTTAAAAGGTTTAGCCTCAGAGGTCACAAGAGATTTTATTCTTTATTGGATTTGAATCTGAGACCTCCAAACACTTTTTATTTATTGGAATCAAGCTTAAACCAATCAGACACCATCCGTATAGTTTTAAAAATATGCATACAGCAATGGAACCAAAACTTGTAAAAATAATTATATATATATTTAGAATGGAATGAATTAAACCCCAAATGGATTGGAATTCTTCTTCTTGCTCTGGTATCCTTTCTTGGACACAACAATAAACCCCAAAGTCAGTCTTGAATTGGATGGTTGAAATATAATTCAGGTTGCAGGTCTGTTTATGTCCCCACCCGATCTTCATCACTATCACCATCACTATCACTATCCCTATTTTTAAATCAGTTCCTATCTCACTTTGCTCTGCAATTCTCCATGACTGTAAGTCACTAATTTTTGCTTCTTCTACCACAGGATCGAATCTGTTTGATTTTAGGTTTGTTAATCTTATCTCTGTTAATTAGTTGTTCAAATTAATCCACAGTATTACAGAAGAAATCAAATTCCTGCCTTCGGTAGTTGGAATTGCAACGACGATCTACCTTTCACACAATGCTTTGAATCCGCCACACAACCAGGTTTGATCTCATGTAGCTACACTGAAGATCGTGATCTCTACGTCGCCGGAGATTTATACCGGAACAACATCGTCACTCCCGCCATTATCGTCGCTCCTCGCCGGAGAGTAATTAATTGATCGTTTTGCTATTCAAAATTTCAAATCCAAACCGTTACATGATCTGAAGTCGATGCGTTGTTTTCTGTTACTCGACAGGGTTACACAAAGGAAGTTAAAAAGGACGCATGGGTGGCTAATTGCGACTGTGATGAGAAGAAGGAAGCACCGACACCTGTGGCACGGAGCAGGAAGGCGGTGGATGAGGATTTGTACAAGATCTCCCCGGAGCTCCTCCGTGCAAAGCCGAGAAGGGTAAGTAAATCCGTCAACTCCTGTTTCGTCGTTGAACCTAATCATGAATAACAACATTTCACGAGCCCACAGACCACTTCTTTCTGGCCCTCCACTGCCTTATCATACTTGAAGTCAACATTCTCTTCCTAACAAATTTCAACAAGATGATCATTACTTTTAAGACTAAATGTTCAACAAAATTTCAACCATATTAATAATTTCTTTTATTAAATATAAATTAAATTATAATAAAAAATTGAATTAAAGAAGTTATATCAAAAAAAGAAAATTATTAAATAGTTAATTTAATATTAATATCAATTATTTTTCTAAAATTTTTATACTATTTTCAAATTTATATTCATTCAAAAATAAAAATATTATATCGATATAGACAGAATAAAAATTAAACATCAAAATCGAGATTTATCTCACAGCATCATATAAGTACCCTTCTAATGTATTTTAAATTTAAATGATCTTCATCTGCTTTTTGACTTTAAAACATTTTAGACATATGTTTTATGTATTTGTCACATTATTTTATGGTTCTTTTTTACCATATAAATTAAACTTGTACGACAAGAATATTATTAATTAGTAGATAACTGTAATACGTAAAAGCTTTGTTATTTAACCCATAAAATTAAAAATATAATGGATTTTATCACGTGTGTTGATATACATTAAATTATGAAACCGATTACATTAAAATACGACATATTTGAGGTTTTATTTTTAAAATCTATATTTTAAGAAAAGCATTACGCATTTAATGGTGTTAAGGGAATCAATATGTAATAACTCATAGTATCTGCAATAAATTCTTTATGATATAATAATCTCTAAAAAATATTTTTTTTATTATTATTAAAATATTTTATATTTTATAAATTTATCATTACTTTTAAAAAAAAAAAATACAACCATATAATTGGTATAACCAATTTAAAAGAATTCTTTTTTCTTTAAGAGAACAATTCTCTCTTACACGTTATTTTAAGGATTGAATGTATGAAATAATAAATTTTTTTCATAAATTTTTTTATTTTAGCATTTTATTTTTGTTTTTCTTTATTACGACAATGTATTTTTAAATTATTTTTTATTAAGGCATCGCACTTTAAAAAATCTACTCATTATAGTAATGAATAACCTGTTACCTTTTAAACTGGTTAACCTCTTGATTTTTTTTGTTTGTGTTGCTTTAATGAGGTCATGTGGATGACACATCATTTTAATGATTTAATTAAAATAAAATAAAAACTTGTTTCAAATTATTATTAGTGATTTTCATTTTTCATTACTTTGATTTAAAAAACATTTGTTTTTTTTATTATTTTCTTCATATTAAGTTGCATGCAAATTAAATATTCTAGAGTAAAATATTTCTTTAATAAATATGCTACATTATTTTTGAGATATGTTTTGTTTGTAAAAAAAGTAGCACTTCTTATTTTATGTTGTTTAAAGATATACATATCTTTTAAAGTTCTTTCTAAAATGTTCACGAAATCAATTATATTCTACAATTTTTTAATATTGTTATATTAATAAATAATTCAAAAAATCTAAAATAATTTAATATATTTATACGTCAAGGAAAAGTTTTTGAACAAATATAATATATTCTTTAATATTAGTTTTATTAATGTTAGTATATTAATGAATAATTTAGAATTTTTTAATTCATTTAATATATTTATTAAATAACATGTAAAATATCTAAATATAAAATTAAAAATACATTGTTTAATAAGAACTAGTAGATCAATAATAAAATAATTTTGAAAGTACAATGCTGTAATAAGAAAGTCAATCACAATAGTACATGTGGACAACCTACATGGACAATGAGGCGGGATAGAAACCTAGTATAATGGATAAATTTAAATTAAAAGGTTACCCAATACTATAATAGGTAAACTTTTTAAAGTACAATGTTCTAATAAAAATAGTTTGAAAGTATATTGTTTGTAAGTGAGTACAACAACTCTAACCATGATTAATGTTTACCGGGTAAATTGTTGCATACGGTATCGTTTTATTAACTAAATCTTACTGAAATTTATCGATAAATACTTATTGGATAAGTGTTTGATAAACAATTATTAAAATAAGTTATATAAAGAATAAATTTGACTTTTGGAGGCAATTTATGTTGAATGTGAAGTGAATAAACCATGTGGTGTTGCTTTGTTTGACAGAGGAGATGGGGATGGTTTTCAAGCTGCATGCTACCAGCATGTGTCGTGTGAATCAGCTTTCATATCAGACTCATGTTTACTTGTCATTTACAGTATTTCCTATTAATTATTAATAATACCAAGTAGGATGCATTTTTGTGTACTACCAACTTTTTGAAGTATTACAAGTAGTTGGATTTAACGTTTTTTTATCTGAACATGTTTATTAGTTAATTTAACGGAGTTTAAACATAGAAATTTAAAAAGTTGTATTTATACAACAATAAGTCGTAAAATTCGATATTAAAAGATATTTAATAACATAAGAAAAATGTTTGATAACATAGTAAAGATAATTTCTTGAAACACACCATTTTCATCACGGGGAATCTTATAAAAAATTCCATCTGATAAAAAAACATGACTTATAATTATTGTAACTTACAGTATCCTCAAGTATAGTTTACTTTAATCCAGTATATCTCTTAACTGTTGTTTCTTTCTGATGTCATAATCGTATGAGATACATGATAATACAGTCGATTTACATTTCACGAGTCCATGACTTTCTAAAAGGGAGCTACACAACAGCTACAATATAGGAGTTTGATAGAATATAGAATATATTAATTAACCTAGACCCCTCTTGCACATATACTCAAAATACGATCATAAAACATGAAACTTGTTTTTGTCCCAAAACATTGTACAAAAACTTAAATATATAGACTATAGAGTATAAACATCCTTATAACCATCATGTGAGTTGTATCGTCATCGTGAGATTGCAAAATCAAATACATATAGATCACATGGTCAATGTTTAGTCTAACACAGGCTGTCCTCAAGAGAGGCCGAGTCGGCCTTATGTCCAGGGCCCACAAAATAGGGGCTCGATTTTTTTATAATATAATACTATAGTAGTAGTCAATAGATTTAGTAAATAAAAATGATAATTTTTTAATATCTAATACTACCAAAAAGTAATTTTGTATTATGTTAAGGGCTCAAACATCTATTAATTAAATATATTGGAAAAGAATACATGTAAAAGCTAAAAAAATTAATTGGTTGTTCATTTTATAGTATTGTTTATTGTCTTTTTAGATCTTCAAATTATTTGTCCGTAAAATATTGATATATTTCCATCATTTATCTTTCACCAACTCTTTTGATTATTTCATCCGTATAAATTCTATTTATGTATCTATACTATATTATAAAGCATTTGGCTAAAATTCTTAAAAACTCTTAAAACTCTTAAACCCGTTCATCCCTAAACAATTTCATCCCTATCCGATTTCATCCC